GACCTGAGGCTCGCCAAGTAGGCCAAGTAGGCGAGGCTGGCCGGCCAGTGAGTCCCAGAGATCCTGCTGTCTCCAGATCCCCAGAGCTGAGATTATCAGCACCCAACTGAGGTCCCTTGCCAGAGACTTGTGTGGTACTCATAATCATTTGAAAGTCTGTATACCTTGACACGTGTGTGTGTGTATGCATGTGTGTGTGTATGCATGTGTGTGTGTATGCATGTGTGTGTGTATATGCATGTGTGTATACACACACATACGGGTGCAGATGTGCATTCATGTGACAACCATACTCAAGAAAGCCATCTGCCATAGTGTCTTTCGTTGGATCTGGCCAGCAAACCTTAGGGATCTGCCTGTCAATGCTAGGATTATAAGCGTGGGCCACCATCCCTAGCATTTGTATGTGGGTTCTGGAGATCAAACTCAGGCCTTCACATTTGGAAGGCAAGTACTTTACAGAGGGTTTTACTCCAAGCCCTGAAAGTTCATGTACCTTGTATGCCTCACCTCAGAAGTTTAGACAACAAAATTAAGTCATTCTTAACACAGGTATGTTTTAACGTTAAAACTCATGTCACCTTGAGCTGCTCCTAGCAAATGGAGTCTAATTTCCCTCGTGCATCACCTCCTTGAATGTTCATATTGACCCCAAGGTGTCTGTCTTTGTCTCTGCCTATCCTGGTACTAGAAATCAAATCTAGGGCTCTGTTCATGCTAAGCAAGCACTTCAACACCAGGAGTGTTTTTATTACATGTATTTTGTGTGTGGTGCAATTTTTGCCACAGCATGTGTAGAGGTCAAAGGGAGGGCAAGTTGTGAGAGTACGTTTTCTGCTTCTACCATGTGGCTTCTAGGCTAGAACTCAAGTCAGCAGACTTGGTGGCAAGCACCTTGACCCACGAAACCATCTCAGCAGCCCAGTGTGTGTGTATATGCATGTGTGTATACACACACATACGGGTGCAGATGTGCATTCATGTGACAACCATACTCAAGAAAGTCAGCTGCCATAGTGTCTTTCGTTGGATCTGGCCAGCAAACCTTATATATATATATAAAATTTTTGTTCTGAGATAAGGTCTCACTAAGTTTCTCAGCCTGGCCTTGAATCCACTCTGTAGTGAATTCAGAAGTTAGGGCTTGAATTTGTGATGCAGAGTCGGGTTGCTCATTTATTTCAAAGGGGTCCTTCCCAGTCATTGATGGTAGGGGAGCTTACTAGTCAGCTGTAATCAGTCAAAGTCTCTCCTGCCCTGTTGTTGCACGGAACCACTGCCAAGGCCCGGGTGGCTGGGCTGTGCTGTGCAGGAGAGAACAAATGCCTGTTCCCTCCAGGGCCTGGCTACCCAGGGTTAGGAGAAGTCCTGCCATCAGCCACTAAGTCTAAAAGGCCCAGTCATTCTTGCCTACCAACCGCTTCCAAGTGCGGACAGAGCCCTTGCTCTTAACCTCTCGAAACACAGCCAAGGGCAGACTGCAGACACAGGAAAACATCACAGTCAGGAGCAGTGGCTGCCAGCATCCAGTAGTGTTTGCCAGTTCTAAGTTGAAAGGAAGAAGTCTTGCTAACTCCCAACTGTTTAATTACCTTAATTAAGTTTCTCAGGTGTATAGTATTAGATTAGGAATGAAATCCTTATTCACAAGGCTTCTATATCTGTAAAATGTAAGCAGTATACAAAATGAACCAAAAATGTAAAACTCTATTAATATTATGTATGTAACGTGATAGATAATGTTTTTCTGAAATTAAAATGTCTTTTAGGGTTAAGAGTGTGAAACTCACTGCTGTGGTTATAACTAGGGTCAGATGTAAAGTCAAGTGCAGTGTTTGGTTGCAAGGTTATCATTAGATGGGTCAGAATAGGCATTGAAATATATTAATTATTTTAAAGTATATAATTAAAATAAGAGCAAAAATGTATTTTTTTTTATAGAATTTGCAAGTACAGGAGCATTTCATCTGCCAAGTTCATACAGGGCCCTGGAGTCTCTGATCCCACCTGAAATATAGTGAATTAGAACCTGCTTCTTATAACTATTTTTGCATTTCAGAATGTGTTGTGTGTGTCTGTTCCTGTACACATGTGCTGTGATGTGCATGTGTTGTGGCAGGCCCATGGATGTCAGATGTCAACTGTCAGGAGTCTGTTCTTTCCTTTCACCATGAGGGCTCCTAGGACTGGACACAGGTCGTTCAGTTTGGTAGCAAGTGTCTTTACCTGTTGAGGCATCTTGCCAGCCTAGAACCTCCATTTTAAACAAGATGTCTAGGTGATGGATATACAGATTAAAATCTGAGTAAACTTATTTCCCAGTTTATTCCTCATTGAGCAAATATAAACATGGGGCATGGACAGAAGTTTTTTTCTTTTTCTTTCTTTTTTTTTGGTGGTGGTGGGGGAGACAGCGTCTTGTGTAGCCCAGGCTAGCCTCAAATTCATTATGTAGCTGAGAATCACTTTGAATTTCTGATCCTCCCACTTCCATCTCTTGAGTGCTAGAATTACATGTGGGTTTTTGTTCTATTTTGTTTTGTTTTGTTTTTTTTTTTTGCTGCTGAGGATCAAACCCAGGGTTTCATGAATGTAAGGCAAGCGCTCTACTGACTGAGTAGCAGTAGCAATAGCACACAGCCTGTAAAGCAACTCCCTTCTCCTCCTCTTCTTTTTCAACTCTTTGACAATTACTTGCTCCTTCATTTCCAGGGCTGCAGGAAGGTAGGTTTAAGATGAACTTGGAAGTCTCTAGGAATGCTTGTAAGTATTGGTAACTTCAAAGGGCCCATCTAGGTGACTTCCACTGTGGAGGCTCCCTTTGGGAAGTTCCTCTGTTTATGGGTAGGCAAACTCATAGAGACAGAGAACAGATTATAGCCTGGTAAAGGTTTGGGGAGGAGAATGGGCAGCAGGCATGGGATTTCTTTTGGGGGTTGTGATAATCGGTAGTGATAGTTCTGAGGTAGAGTCAGTGGTGACGGCAGTACTCCTGGGAATGGCTAATGAGCCTGGCTTTTTATGTGTGCCCTGGGGAATCTGAACACAGGGCCTTATGCTTGAACAGCAAGCATTTTACTGATTGGATTTTCTTTCCAGGCCCAATTTCCGTATTTCTCTGAAACTCTATCCACTAGTGATTCAAACATTTTGTTCTTTCCACCGACTTCTATTTCCCTGCCAGGCAGTGTCCTCAGGCATTCTGAGGGCTACGGAGATGACTAAGAGGATTTTGCCTTGGGTAGTAACAGTGATCAGATCATGGACTACGAAGGATTGTGCAGGAAAATGAACATGTGAAAACCACCAAAGGGATGTTTAAACCTACAGCTATCTGTGTCGCAGAAGGAAGGAGTTATTTCTTACTGCTGAACTCTGGTGGATTCTCTTTGATCTTTTGTTGAAGGGATCCTGACAGAGGTGAGCTAAGAAGCGTTTTAGCAATACCATGAACAAAGGATTTCAAAATGGAGAGCTGGAGGAAAGAACACATACTTAGGGAAGAATGAATGAGCACAGGCTGGAAGTGATATGACTGTGTTCCTCCTGCATTCTGAGACAGGGTTTTATATAGCCCAGGCTAGCCGGGGACTTACTGTGTAGCTAAGGATGTTCTTGAACTCCTGATCCTCTTGTCTCAGCCTCCCAAGTGTCCTAGTGCTCATCACCAGTTGGACAAGAAAAAGTAGGAGCAGAGTGCGAATGAGAAGAAGTTGAATAGAAATTGTTGTTTTCCAAAGTTTTGCACACATTTTCCTGATTGGTAAAGTCATTTTGTTGACATGAAGAAAAGGTAAGCTTTGCAGCATGTGGGTGCTGGGTGCTGGCGATGGAACCCAGGGCCTTGTGGGTATACTAGGCAAGTGCTCTTTCCTCAACCCCCTGAAGAAACATAGTAATTATTAATATTTTGGATTTTTCGAGATGAGGCTGTCCTGAAGCTTATCCTGTAGACCAGGCTGGCCTCGAACTCACAAGAGATCTGTCTGCACCTGCCTTCCCAGTGCTGGGATTAAAGGCGTGCACCACCACTACTCAGAGAAACAGTTTTTATAAAGATAGTCTCTGGGTGGGGGGTACAAAGATTAAAATCAAGAACCAATAAGAAGCCTTGCCATAGAAAAGGGTATTGACACTGCCCCCTACCCCTGTGAAAAAAGAGGCAAGGACCTTCGAGATGGGTCCAAGGGTAAAGGAAAGGAATTTGCTGCCAAGTCTTGGGTTCAATCCCTGGGACCCACATGGGATTACCAACTTCCAAACCTTGTCCTCTCACTTACACACACACACACGATACAATCATGTTTTGGGTATATACAAAAAAAAGTAATGTGAAAAACTAAAAAAAGAGGCCGAGGAAATGCGAGGGTACTCTCAAGCTCATGTTTTCCCCATTTCAGTGGGGGTCACCCAGTCCATAGGAATGTCCTCTCATCCGCAGGCTTGTATCACCCAGAAAACTTTAGAGTATATGCCCCTCAAAGCCCTGGCACGATAATGCCAACTCTCCTTCTCAAAATGAATGGCCGAATTTGATTTTAAAAAGCAGTGTTCCTGGCACACGGAAAGCACCCATCCTTTGTTTTACCCAGGAACGCCTTTTGCTTAGGCTTTGTTTTCGAGAGCCTCTATTTAGGAGGAGAAATGATGGAAAACTGCACTTCAAAGCCCCTACCCTCTATCAGCACTTAGTTGGGACAACCTGAAGCCAAGAGGTCGAGTTTCCCCACTTTGCGCTGTCCCCTTCTTTTGTGTCCCTGGAGTCAGTAGGTACTCCGGGGAAGAGGGAGGAGGGACAGGGCTGACAGTCGAGGAGCCAATCCCGGCCTGGCTATGGGGTGTGGACACGGAGCCACGCCCTCCCCTCCCAGCCCGCTAAGCCCCGCCTCCCTCGCACCTGCGAGTGCCTGCGCTCCAAAGCAGGCGCCGGCGCTCCCAAGCGGGGTGGGAGGGAAGGGGGCGGAGCAGGGGCGTGGCTTCACCTCTCGCGAGACCGCCTCCTGTTGCTGAGGCCGCCGTTCCGGGACTCTGACTGGCCGGCGGCTGCGCAGCCGCCATGTTCGGTTGCTATGCTGCGGCCTAGGAGACGGGGTGTGCTTGCGGGAGGAGGAGGAGACGGAGGAGGAGGCGGTGGAGGCGAGGGAGGAGGAGGAGGAAGGAGAGGAGGAGACGAGGGAGGAGGGTGACCGAGCTTCTCCTTTGCACTCTCACACAGAGCCGCCTCCCTGGAGTCACCCGCCGCCTCACGCCGCGCGCTTTCCTGCTCCGCGGACGCGACATTGTTCTTTAGGACTCCTGGGACCTGTCAGAGATCGGGGCTCCGGGACTTGAAAGAGACGTGACTCCGGCCCGCGGGCCGCGTGTTGGGGGGGGGGAGGACCGCGGCACTTTCGGGGCGCGTGTGAAGGGATTAGCTCATCTCGCCGCGAGGTGCGAGCGCGCGCCTCCCCGCGCACGCCGGCCCCGCCGCAGCCCCGCAGGATGACGGGGTGCTGCTGGCGGCCCGCGGCCGTGGCGCGGCCACTGTGGCGGCGGCTGTTCGCGGGGCGCTGAGGGGCGAGCACCCCGACGCGGACCACGCGCCTCGGGGCCCCCCCCCCCGCACCCCCCCCCTCTCCCGGCTGTGCGCCCGGGGCCTCCTGGCTTTTTGTATTTGGATTTTTTTTTCTCCAGCCGAGAGGACGCGGCTGTGATAACGAAAGGTAAGAGGGGCGCTTGGGGAGGTTCTTCGCTTGGCCTTCTTGGGTCCCCTTTGCAGATCGTGGGCGCGCACCTGAAGCTTGCAGAGCCAGGTAGCCGGAGCTACCTGACCGACTTCCCTTTTCTTGTTGGGTCCGGGTACTCGGATCTCCCTGGGGGTTATAGTTGAAATCTCTGCTAGGGATGAGCGCACGGTGTAAGGGATGGAATAGATGCGAGATGGAATGTTCCAGTGTTCCTAAACTCAAGGTAAGGCTGGATTAGAATCTTCAGTATTCCATTTGGTCTAATATTGTTTCGTTAATTGACTCATATAAGCATTTTTTTTTTTTGCACGCTGCATGAGCTCAAGATCCCTCCCATTGAACTTGAAAGTCTCTTGTGACTCTGCTAGTATCTACTTGTTTTTAGGAATCTGTAGTTGGACCCCCAAAAAGTTGAGATGTAGAACAGATCTGAGTCCTTCACTTAGATTTTCATGATGGTTTGGAATCTTCACTGCTTTCATAATGTTTAGATTCAGTGTGAGTCTGTAGTAAAGGAAAGATCAGTGTTTGTGGCTTTTTGTAAACGTAAGCGCAGTGATCTTTGGCTTTCTGGCTTTAAAATTTTTGTTTCTGTGGCAGTGTTTGTTAATAGTTACTTACAGGAAAAATGGAGCATATGGATTGTTTTTTATGGACAGGAACTCTTCTTACAGGATCTTAGTCACCTGAATTGTCCCAAGACAGACTTCTGAAAATCAATTCAATTCAGAGATTAAAGAGAAGCTGGATTTTTTTTTTTTTTTTTTAAAGAAAGTTGAGATGCAGTTAAAATGCTTGTCTGGATGCATTTGCTGGGGTTACTTCAATAATGGAACAGCTTACAATTTCACTGATAATGCATATGAATGCTTCCCCGAAACTTAGGCTAGAGACTTTATGTCTGGCCTTGCATCACAGAGTGACATCAGTGTGTACAAGGACGATGTGTGGGGTTTTAAAAGCTGCTTGTTCCAGGAGGACCTGTCATTATCTACTAGCTACTTTTGGAATGAGCAGTTCAAGAAATATTGAGTGTGGGACCAGCTCTTGGGTCCAGATGAAATAGCGCAGTTCATTGGCCACATTTGGAACATGGCTGGAGGAGAAACAAAAACAAAAAGCTGGTGTGTCTGACTTGGAAAGACAGTTGGGCTAGAAGGAAGGCTGGAGCAGTAACTGTCGCAGCCGTTTGAGAATCCTGCGTTTGTGAACAGTAGTGTGTCAAGAGGGGAAGCAGGTTTTCCAGAAGGGGAGGGGGTTACCTTAAATAGTTGTTCAGTATGCTTAATAGGCTATAGCTAGATGTATTATGTAAATCTCGAAGTTGAGGACACAAATTCAATGTTTTTTTAAAGAAAAAAGTCGGTTTGAAAGGAAAAGCTTATGAGTTAATATAGGACTACTTTTTTTACACTCATAATCTGAGATCAATCATCTTGTGGACACCACCATTTTTTTTTTTTTTTTTTTGCTGTTGTTGTCAGAATATATTTCTGCTCCAATTACCACAAAAGCTATTTTTGTATCTCTTCACATTTTCTATGGTGTTCTTATCTTTGTTCATATTTTGTATTGACCATGTGCATGGATGGCCCCATAATATTGTGATCTTGTCTGATTTATAAGATCAACATAGTCTGTGTGTGTGTGTGTGTGTGTGTGTGTGTGTATGTGTATACATGTATACATGACAGTATAGACTTTTTAAACACGAGGAATCATCACTGCGTTATAGTTTTTCTTACTATTGAGTTGGTTAAAGTTTGTTAAGGTAGAGAATCAAATTCCTCAAAAGTAGTCACAGATGTGACTTACTTCAGGCTTTTAATAGCTTAGCTTCTACGTGGGGGTAAATTATGTCAAGTCCTGTTTCCTCCTCCCCCACTGTGTCCTAATTGAGTATCTTTAAAATGTCCCTAGTAACATTGTTGCTTTAAATTTATGACACTAATTTCTAATTTAGGCTAGGCATAACACCAGCATCTATTGAACACATTTGCTAAAAATACTTTCTGGGTCGGATGTACTTAGAATGCAACCTCAGGAAAATTCACTTGAACTGTTCTACTGTGACCAGTGTGGATATTATTATTTTTTTAAGAACTTTAATAAAAATTACAGAATCCTACAAGTTAGTTTTTATCAGTTTAGGCATAGGTGCCACCTTCTTAATGTATAAAGTGAGACAGTAATAGAAAAAATGTGATAGCAATAGAAACTTTTTTCAGTTGTTAAGAAAACATAATGTGAACTCTTTTGACTCTTAAGTCCTCTGGTTTGTTTACCAGAGTTTTAATTTAATAATCTTTGAAATGTTTTAATTTTATCTATTGCACATAGAATTGTAAAATGATGTACAGTTTGTATGGTTATTCATTTAGTATTTATGGCTTTTTCTCAGCTCTAAAAGGGAGAGGAGTGGTTATGTTTTTGAGTAAATTTTCTTTAAGGAACAAAATAGGAGTAAGGTAATTTAAAGGAGACACTTATTCAGAGTATTTCTTTCCTCCTTTGAGAATTAGGTTGTTTGAAAAGTAAGAAATCCTTTTGTTGTTGTTGTTTTGTTTTTTGAGACAGGGTTTCTCTGTTGTAACAGCTCTGGCTGTCCTGGAACTCTGTTGACCAGGCTGGCATCGAACTCAGAGATCTCTCTGCCTCTGCCTCCCCAGTGCTGGGATTAAAGGCATTCGCCACCACTGCCTGACAAAAAGCAAGAAATCTTTAAAAAAAAAAAAAAAAGTAGGAATTTTGTTTTTTTTTTGTTTGTTTGTTTTTGTTTTTGTTTTTTTGTTTTTTTTTTTTTTTTTTTGAGACAGGGTTTCTCTGTGTAGCTTTGCGCCTTTCCTGGAACTCACTTGGTAGTCCAGGCTGGCCTCGAACTCACAGAGATCCGCCTGGCTCTGCCTCCCGAGTGCTGGAACTAAAGGCGTGCGCCACCACCGCCCGGCTAGGAATTTTGTTTGGTAGATGTTTAAGGGCAAATGGTTTAAAGGTCTGTTTGAATTCTTCATGTTAGGAATGCAAGTCTATGTGACTTAATGTGGCTAAATATAAATTGTTGCTCATAAATGAAATTTGCTTATTGATAGAAATGTACTGGTTTACAACTGAACTGAGTTGTTTTGTTCTTTTTCTGGATTATTACATGTTACAGAGTTTTAAAATGATACAGTTCAGAGATGTTAAATTTACTGGCTCTGTAGAAGTACTAGGAAGCCTTAAAGATTGATTTAGTTTCTGGAAGTTGGGTTTTTGGGGCATGGGGAGGGCAGTAAAGTAATGTAGAGGAACATATTGTTATGTTTTCATATAATGTTCAATCACTGCAGATAGTGAGAAGTAATATAATGAAGAAGTAGTGTAGAGTATTCTTTCCCAACATGGAACAGTTGTCTAGAAACTGTATGGTTTATTTTATATCCTTTGAATGACAACTCAGTATAGTCATATAAAATACAAGGGACATTTATTATGTTCACAGTCATCTTTTATTTCATGATTCCCAAATAGAAACATTGGAAGAGAGGTTACGAGTATTTGAAGAAACTGGTGGACTGTCTTCAGAGGAAGGCATTAATTTGGAAGGCTCACTTATTGTATCTTCTAACAGGATGTTCTGTAGACTAGTAGAAAGAAAAGGATCCTGGGGGAAGAATGTTAATATTTATTATCTGTTAAGTTCCAAGCAGTGTACATAATCATCAAGTATACTTTGTGAGGTGTATGTTATGTCAATCTTGTGTCATCTGCTCCCCTCCAAGTGGAATTCAAACCATACCTGACTCTAAAGTTTATTCTTTAAAGCAGTGCAGTCCAATTACATTTTCTGTAGTGATGGAAATACTTTACCCTCTTTCCCAGATTTATTGAAGTATAATTGACAAATGTGAGGGAACTATTTTTTTCCTTGCCTGTTAGATATGGTAGCCATTAACTGTGTATAGGTTATAGAACACTTGGACATATGACTCTGGTGTATGTGAGAAACTGAGTTTGAAGTTGCATTTAGTTTTAATCATTTTACATTTCTAGCCAAGCCGGGCGGTGGTGGCGCACGCCTTTAATCCTAGCACTCAGGAGGCAGAGCCAGGTGGATCTCTGTGAGTTCGAGGCCAGCCTGGTCTACAGAGTAAGTTCTAGGACAGGCACCAAAACTACACAGAGAAACCCTGTCTCGAGAAAAACAAAAAACAAAACAAAACAACAATATACATATATATATATATACATATACATACACATACACACACACACACACACACACACACACACACATATATTTTCCTAGCCAAATGTGGTTGCTAGTTTTGCAGTCTTGAGTAGCACAATTTTTAGATCCTGCTTCCTTGAAAATCTGAGGTCTGGCATTCAGTCTTCCACAGGTTTAGTCATGACATCAAGGCAACTTACTTAGTTCTTGAGCTTCAGTTTAACCTGTTGAGAAGTTAAGAAGGGATTACCACTGACCCCCATCTTGCTTTAAAGTTCAGTAACTTCTGCCGGGCAGTGGTGGCGCACGCCTTTAATCCCAGCACTCGGGAGGCAGAGCCAGGCGGATCTCTGTGAGTTCGAGGCCAGCCTGGGCTATCAAGTGAGTCCCAGGAAAGGCGCAAAGCTACACAGAGAAACCCTGTCTCGAAAAACCAAAAAAAAAAAAAAAAAAAAAAAGTTCAGTAACTTCTTACAATGTACAATGGCATTTAGTATTCATGAGCATTATTTCTGAAGGTGTTCTTCCTCTCCATTGTGTTCACTATTCATATAAGGAATTTATTTTTGAGAAGAATATAAAGTGTACACAGAAGATAAGGGGTTATTTTCTGCACATACTCCCATACACAGTTGTTTGGTGAAAGCATTGTGTGACCCAAACTATTCCTTTTTTTATTCCAACATAGAGCCAAGGTGATGTTAGGCAAGTTCTCTGCTACTGAACTACATGTTGTAATAAAAACTGAATCTTTAAAAATCCCATT